TTCCACAATTCAATAAGGTAAGTTGTTTGAATTTCGTTTGCATTTCAAGCTCTAAAATGTATGCAAATCGTTATTGAGTCACTAAGATTGCACGAATGCGTGTTTTTTCTTTTTTTTTATAAAAATTACTTCCGGTCACCGTACCCTCAGTAGAAAAGCATCTTTCTGAACAATATGGACCTTAAGCAAGGACTATGGAAGGATCTAGTACGGTGACCGGGAGTATTTTTCCCGCCGCCCGTCAATTACTCAACTCAGGGAGTTGAAGATACCACGACGGTTTGAGCGGTCACGACGTCGCTTAAAAATGCATTCGCGACTTTTCATTGTTTATCGTGATTATTCCAACTTGCATTCTTTTCCGCATCACAACTGGTTTTACTTGCTCTCGCCATTACACTCAAATCATAAAGCTATAAAACAAAAAAATCAGATGTTCTACCACTTCCTATGGAAGGAAAAAGGTGACAAAATAAAAGACAACAGTTGTGATCAATGAATCTGAGTATGGAGGCCTAAAGATGATTGATCTCTGCTCTTTCAACATATCTCTTAAAACAACATATCTTGAGTGAAAAAGTGTTTGGACATGCACGACTAACAACGGAGAATGGAAACTTCTCTTCGATTTAGAACTGGAATGGCCGTTGCACTCTCAATGTTTTTGACACTAAGGAGGGTCACGAGCCCTTTTCTTAAAGAAATATTGGAATAGTGGGCCGAAACAAACCTTGTGGATCAAGAACAGGTATCATGGTTCAACTCTCTAATAAGGATGGATAATAAACCGATTTTTTTAAAGAGTGGTTTGAAATAGGTATTTCCAAAGTTGAACACCCTCAACCAGGGATCAACAATTTTCTGACTCTTAAAGATTTTGATTCCAAACATGACTTAAGAGTACACCCTCTCAGCTTTTACGGTGTATTATCAGCTGTTAAATCCCTTTGCGAAAAAAATAACCGACACTCGTGAGAGAGACTATTACTGAGTGAAAAACATTTTAAAGGAGAAAGGCCGGGTCAATTAATTTACCAAAAAAAAACTGATCAGTGCCAAACGTTTAACATGTAAAAGCCAACAACAATGGCTTCAAGACTGTAACTATTCAGACCAAGAAGAACCCTTTAAGTGGGAACCCGCCTATCTCACGACAGTGCACAAAAAGCACCATGCTGATCGGGTTATCACTTTAAACTTTTACAGTAGAAGCTGATACCAACAAATGATTTCTTACTTAAAATAGGACGAAAAGAAAAAGAGAATTGTACCCTCTACAACAATTCCTCAGAGACGGTAAAGCATCCTTTGTGGTCAGGCCATGTTACATCCTCTTTTTGAAAAAGCTTGACTAATTAGCTCCAATACACTCTTCCGATAAACGGCAAATACAGCTTATTGATTAATACGGTATTGGGCTGGAGGCCGGAAACCTCATTCTACAGAATACTCGCTTCAATGTAACTACTGTCCCCTGCTATCACGATTTTATATTTGGCAACTAAAGCTAAAATAAAGGAGACATTGCCTAATTTTTGCACATTTTTTACGCCTGGTTAATACAACATCTATAACAGAGAAAAAGCAGGGAACACCAAAAAAGGAATTTTCTTGCTGATAGCTCTCAATATAGCTCTTCTTAGCTCCCTTTCCCCTGACGGACAAATACTAAAAATGTTTAAAAATTCGTATATCTGTATATAGATAGATATAACTGTTTAAGTAATGCAATCAAAGTCCGTTCTTTGCTCCATTACGTACTCAATTAAATAGTCGAACTGTGCCTACTTTTTACTTTCCGTTGTAATTTTTGTCGTACTTTACCAATAGATAAATAATAATAATAATAATAATTAAGAATAAGGTTAATTATTTTATATAATTAACTGCGTATTCCATTACAAGAAGGATATGTGAAAACAACCTCATCCTTATTTATTTTAGTTCCTATCGTTGATCCTTGTTGCTGTAGTGCTGACTTCTGTATAAGGAACGGTCCAGTTAAATCCAGTTGTAAAACGAATTGTCTTATGCAACCAGAACTCAACCTCGCAATGTAGTCACAAGTTGCGATTGTTTCTCCGGTGTTGTCTTTTCTAGGGGTCAGTGGGGTAGGTATTTGGAGAACGTAGAAAAGTTGACACTTAAGCGGTTGGACTGGTTGCATTTTCTTCCCTATAATTAAATAAAGGTATGAGGTATGGCGTATTGTCAAACGGTATAAACTCCTATTTCATTGCAAAAAGGTCAACACTTTCTGGAGTAAGCTAAGTATCTTTCTTTAGACAAAAAAAAGAGTTTTCACTAAAATGTTTACCAACTTCGATGTTAAAGATATTTTATTTGGCCAGTGATGACAGTACTCCAGAATCTTATGAATTTACTCTCGTGAGAGTAAATTCATTAGTTTTCGTTCGAAATTAAGTAAATCATTCCTCTCGACTAGCCTCATATTAACAAAAGGCAAAACATCTTACCAATTCTAACGTCTCATTGCAAAAACAAACAAACAAGCAATCGCCAATTTCGCAATACACAAAGTGGGATAGTCTTTTGCCGTTGATGGCACCGAAGCTATCGCCACAACTATTTCAACTCATGCAACATTTTTTTTCATTTATAAAGGTAACCTCAGGTAATGTTCGCTAAGTGTTTAGTGTAAAAGTATAGCGTAGCAATGATGTTGAGTCGTGTATTGGAACTGGAACTGAATTTTCTTTTCCTATCTTGCAAAACTAATGTCCGCAAATTATTACAAAAGCAAGGGGTATTTGGAAGAACTTAGTATATGTAGTCTGATTATTTAACCATTATATTAAAGTTATACTGGCTGATATTTTCGAAAAGTCGATCTTTATTACGATTGATAATGGTGTTACGGCCGCGTTCCACGTCAATATGT